CACGGGTGTTGGGGTGGGGGGGGGATTCACTCAAGAAAATTAAAGCAAAGCCCTACACTAACCCTGGCACACAGTAAAATCAGTCCTATGAGGAAATTTTTAGCTCTAATTGCCCACGTTTTACAAAGGCTTCTAACCGGGAAGTGATGATGCATGCCTTTAGTTCCAGCACGCGGCCTGGTCTCCAAGAGCGAGTTCCAGGACTGACTCAAAAACTAGAGAGAAACCCTGTCACAAAAAAAGAACAAACAAACAAAAAATCTATTACATAAATCAATAGATGCATACATAGATGGAAGAATAGATGAGAGACAGACAGAAAGAGAGAGAGAGAGAGAGAGAGAGAGAGAGAGAGAGAGAGAGACCCAAACCCCATCTTCTGTCTTCTGATGGTACCAGGCTCTCTCCCAGGGGTCACAGAGGAAGGTGGGCAGGCAGCAACGCAGACAGTGTACGTGTGTGATATCAAGCAAGCCTATATGTGATATATAGGGTCTAATAGGGCAATGTCAGTATTACATTGGGGTAGGTCTCAGGAGCACAAGAATCCAAATCTCTGATGTATTCCCTGTCACCAGAAGAGGGCACTAGATCCCCACCATGTGGTTTCTGGAAATTCTCTGCAGTTCTGATTGTTTTCATTGTTCTTCCTGCTTGCCTGTATTTAGTGAGAGAGTGGGTAACACTCCTCCCTGCTTCTCTGTGTGTCTGTGCCTGTCACATCCTGGATAGTCAGAGTGCCCGCCACCTATGCCTGCCTGAGATGTAGCCGGCAGCCCTGGCTGGGGCTGGGGGAAAGGGAGAGAGTGGATTCTCCTGGAGAGCCATGGGCAGAGGCTCTGTGGATTCCCTGCAAGAGGCCTCACTGTTTCAGGTACAGCTGTGACCAGGTCTGAATCCAGGACAGACTCCAAAGCCAGAGAGAATCCCTGTCTCAGAAAATAACAACAACAACAAAAAAATAAGTAAACTAATAGATAAATTGATAGCCAGGCAGAGACTCAGAGAGATGATAAAACACCTCAGAGATCAGGGAGCCCAAGGCAGGCAGGTCACTGCGAGTGTAAGGCTACCTTGTTCTGCAGACTGAGATTCAGGACAGGCAAAATGACACAGATAAATTCTGTTTAAAAAAAATGGTGTTCAGTGCATGTCTTTAATCCCTGCACTAGGAGGCAGAGGCAGATGGATCTCTGTGAGTCTGAGGCCAGTCTTGTCTACAAAGTGAGTTCCAGGGCATACAAGGATACACAAGGAAACCCTAAGTTGAAAAACCACAAATAAACAAACAGATAATAACAATAAAAATATTTGAGAGTTCAAATAATTGACTTCATCCACAATAAAAAAATATGGATATCAAAATATCAAATGCACTTGAACACATTGACACAGGAGACCGCTTCCTAAATATAACCCCAGTAGCACAGACACCGAGAGAAACAAAATGAATACAGGAGACCTCCTGACACTGAAAAGCTTCTGCAAAGCAAAGGACATGGCCTACAAGGCAATACGACGGCCTACACAATGGGAAAAGATCTTCACTAACCCCACATCAGACAGAGGTCTGGTCTCCACAATATACAAAGAACTCAAGAAATTGGTCATCTAAAGAACAAAGAATCCAATTGACAAAATGGAGTACAGACCTAAACAGAGAACTCTCAATGGAGGAATCTAAAATGGCTGACAGACGCTGAAGAAAATGGTCAACATCCTTAGTCATCAGAGAAATGTACATCAAAACGAGTTTCTATGTCTCTTGGATGAAAGAATGAAAGGAGTGCATCCCCACACCCCGGCTCAGTGTTTAGTATCACGTTCTGTTAATTTCTTGTACATTTAGTTTAATTTCACATTTTGTTCATCTCTCTTGGTCTGCACCAAGTGTTTCCCTGTGTGGGGTGGGGCATGGAAGGTGTCTTATTTCAGAACATTTTATTTTACTTTGCTTTGAGACGGTCTTTCCAGTTGTGTAGAACTTAGTTTAATTCCAAATTTTTTAAAAAGATTTGTGGGTTTTTTTATTTTTTTAATATTTATTTATTTATGTACACAATATTCTGTCTCTGTGTATGCCTGAAGGCCAGAAAAGGGATCCAGACCTCATTACATATGGTTCATGAGCCAGCATGTGGTTCCTGGGAATTGAACTCAGGACCTTTGGAAGAGCAGGCAATGCTCTTAACTACTGAGCCATCTCTCCAGCCCTAAAGAATTTTTTATGGTTTGTTTAACTTTATTTTACATGCAGTGGCATGAATGTGTCAGTTCATCCAGAAATTGGATTTACAATCACTTATGTGCTGCTGCCATGTGGGTCCTAGGAATTGAACCCACTTCTTCAGGAAGAGCCACCAAACCATCTCTCCAGGCCTTCCTTTAATTTAACAAATGTATTGGTGTGTCTCTAGGTGTGCCTCTCTCTCTCTCTCTCTCTCTCTCTCTCTCTCTCTCTCTGTGTGTGTGTGTGTGTGTGTGTGTGTGTGTGTGTGTGTGTGTGGGTGACTCTGTGTGTCTGTGGGGTGGCCTTTGACTTTACCAAGGTGAACACATTCAAGAGAAGAGATGGTGATTTACAGATAGAACACAAAAAAAAACAAAACAAAAACAAACAGATAGCTTGATCTTTAAAAGTGAGTTCCAGGACAGCCAAGGCAGGGCTATTACCTGAAATTGACTGAATTCATATCAGCAATTTCTCAACTCCAACAAGAATGTTTACAGAGAAGTCAAGAAAAAAAAATCATGTTGAATGAAGTGCCAGAGTCAAAGACCTGCTCCACTACCTGCCAACCCTGGCTGTATTTTGAATCTCATATTTGATTTCTCTCTCCACGTACATTGAGTTTAATACATGTGAAGGCAGACTGAAGAAAACAATCAAGAAAAAGAGAAAACATGAGGAGTGGGACAAAACAGAGATCTAGAATGGGAGAGAGAGGGAGAGAGAGAGAGAGAGAGAGCGCATTCACCTCAGTCCTGTGAGAAAACCACCTCAGTCCTTTGAAGAAATTTATAAGTCTCATTGCCTACCATTCTAAAAATTAAAACCATCTACTTGGGTGGTGGCGGCGGCGCATTCCTTTATTCCCGGTTCTCAGCCTATTCTACAAGAGCTACTTCCAGGACTGGGTCCAAAGCCAGAGAGAAGAAAAGTTTGTGATTTACTTAACTTCATTATATGTGCAATGGTGTGAGGGTGTCAGATCACCCCGGAACTGCATTTACAATCACTTATGTGCTGCCATCTGGGTGCTGGGAATTGAACTCAGGACCTTTGGAAAAGCAGGCAATGCTCTTAACTGCTGAATCATCTCTCCAGCATTAAAGAATTTTTTATGGTTTATTTAACTTTATTTTACGTGCAGTGGCATGAATGTGTCAGATCATCCTGAAACTGGATTTACAGTCACTTATGTGCTGCTGCCATGTGGGTCTTGGGAATGGAACTCACTTCTTCAGGAAGAGCCACCAAGCTCTTCAATGGTGTTTTACAGATAGAAAATAAGAAAACAAGACAAAAACAAACAGATAGCCTGATCTTTAAAAGTGAGTTCCAGGACAGTCAGGACTATTACATGAAATTGCCTGAGTTCAAATCAGCAATTTCTCAATTCCAACAAGAATGTTTACAGAGAAGTCAAGAAAAAAAAAACCAACAAATCAGGTTGAATGAAGTGCCAGAGTCAAAGGCCTGCTCCACTACCTGCCAACCCTGGCTGTATTTTGAATCTCATATTTGGTTTCTCTCTCCACGCACATTGAGTTTAATACATGTGAAAGGCAGACTGAAGGAAACAATCAAGAAAAAGAGAAAACATGAGGAGTGGGACAAAATAGAGATCTAGAATGGGAGAGAGAGAGAGAGAGAGAGAGAGAGAGAGAGAGCATTCACTTCAGTCCTGTGAGAAAACCACCTCAGCCTCATTTATAAGTCTCATTGCCCACCATTCTAAAAATTAAAACCATCTAGCTGGGTGGTGGTGGCGGCGCATTCTTTTATTCCTGGTTCTCAGCCTATTCTACAAAAGCTACTTCCAGGACAGGCTCCAAAGCCAGAGAGAAATGTTTGTGATTTACTTAATTTCATTACATGTGCA